GTTTTACTTCTTTTCCCGATTTTCTCCCCCATCTCACTGGATGGGGGGGGAGTGAGTGAGCGGCTGCGTGGTGCTTAGTTGCTGGCTGGGGGTAAACCACGACAGGGGCTATTTTCTTCATTTATATCTTGTGGGCATACTGTGTCTGATTTAAATGGGGGCTGCTGCAGTCTCACCTTTTCCTCCATCCCTACATGCATATTCCTGCCTCTTTCTTTCACAACTCCAGCACTTGCATGATGTGACAGCAGGCTGGGTCATGGAACTCATCTCATCACTTATTTTGCCTGTTAAGTTTGTGGCTGTACCAGTGCCTAAAGCTACTCATTTGCTAGAGTGTCAGTGCTGGAGGAAGGGAAAGATGAGGACTGTGAAATCCAGCAGCATGAGACTGCAGCAGGTCCCATTTATCACAGGACTGCCCTTTACAGTATGGTTTGGATTTGGCTCAGATGGTTTCCACTTCTTCGGTGATTTTGCAATTGAGATGTGCTGAATTTCCTGCATTACTCTGCCAGAAGATTTACACAAAGCATTTCAGCTAAAACAGTAAATAAAAAGTTGCAGTCCAATAATTCTTTAATCTCATTAGAATGAAAATATAATTTTATTTGCATAATAAGTATTCCTATAATAGGCAGAAAAATAATTATTTCCCACTTAAAAACTAGCCAAACAGAAAATGGCCTTTGCTGCACTCTCCCCAATTTAAGCTTTATCCAGAAAATTATTTTTCCTGTATTTTGTTCTTTGTCACACCTGTTACACACAGAGAATGCATTTTTTCATCTCAGCATTTGATTTTTTACTAGATTTCAGTTTGCAAAGAACAGACAAGTGGATATTTTAACTTCTCTTTCACTTATACTGAAGAATCGGGCTCCAAGCTGCTAACCTAAGATTCAGATAGGCAGCTTTTTTCAGTTTTATATTTCAAAGCTATGTTGCTTTCAGCATTCAGAAATAATTCATTTAACCTGACTGTACCTGGATGCAGACTGAAGACAACAGAAACTGCAGTGGTACTCACAGCAATGGAATAGGCGAGGAACATGATTGCAATAACAATGATGAATCCAGAGATATCACCCCATGCCCTCCTGAGAGTTGAAGTGATCATGTTTAGTTTAGGGTTGAGCCTTAGGAGATGCCACAGTTTCACTGTGGAGAGAAGCACTAGGAATGCAATCAGGTAGCCAAGAACTGCATCAGCTCTTGCTGTTTCATTAAAGCTCACACAGCTGTTAGAAAAAAAAGAGAAGATGTAATAGACCGTGCACCCAGAAGCCTCTGAAGTGCATAAATGAGT